AAGCAAAACATATGTCTGTTGGAGATGAAATCCATTATCAACGTTATGTTCAAACCACATATCAGGGGTGCGTCTGTGTGCGCTTATGTATGTTCTGAGTAATATAATTATTTAAAAAAAAAGGGGAGTAAAAGTACAGCCTTCACAGACGGCGACGTGTGAACGGAGAAAGTCTTTGAGGCCGCGCTGGAAGGCCGCGCTGAGTTCACCAGCCGCCCTAAAGTCTCTGAGAGCGAGATCTGCCGCTTGAACTCAACCGCGAGGCGACGGTGACGGACGAAACGCGACGTGGAAGGGACGTGGAGCAAGCTAATTCACGACAAAACAACAAAGTTGGCAGCTGCGTTGAACGGTAACACATAGTTGGGTAAATGCTACGGAGAGGTAACCACACGCGACAGGGACAACATGGTTAAACGTATACGTTGTGCATCTTGCATGTTCGAACAACAGTGGCACCGTTGGAGAAAAGCGCCTTCCGATGCCGACAAAAGCAGCCGCCTCCTCATTCTGGACTCGTTGCTCTTGTGATGGAACAAACGACCTTGACTCGCGCTCTATTGTGTCTGCGGTGTGTGCGCGTCACGGAGAGGTTGTGTGTACTTCTTGTATCTTCTGCTGCTGCATAGGAACCCACACAGCCGGGCTTCGGAAAGCTTTCAGAGCAATCGGCTGGATTTTTTCAGTATTCTGAATTCCAAATCTAGCGTTGATTGAGCACCGCTACCTTCAGGATACACGAAGAGGCCCAAAGACTCGGATTAATGAGAATTCATGCAGCAGCAGCAAGTTATTCAAGTAAATTCAAGGTGCAATGGCTCAACACGTCGAAGGCACAATGGATTAAAAAGCCAATTCTCATTTTAACCTTTTCAAGTCTTTCTTTTTAATTTGTACTGCTTTCAAGCACTGAATGCATGACGTCTGGAGCCTCAGCAGGGCTCATTAAGTGTGTTTCATATGGCACCCCTTCTTTCCAACACACCAAGTTCTTTTCATCGGACCAACACACACGCACACACACAGATGCATGAACACACGGCAAACATACGTCAGTCTAATGTCATTGAATAAACTCCTAATTTAAGCCAGTAACGACATAAGACTCAAGTGTTTTGGCAAAGAACAAACGGACTGCTGAAGGAAAGGATCGCGGTTCGACGCGTCCAAAATGAAAAGAAAGCTGCCGTGCTTATGGAGTGTTATGATATCCCGCCATGCTCTAAGAAAAAAAAAAACCTCCTCTGCTCTTCCTCGGAAAGAAATGTGACCCGTACAATCGAATGTCATGAGATTTAAACGTAAAACTCTATAGTCAAATCATATATAATATAATGGATGGACAGATGATATTATTGTAATATAGATCTATGTTATGGACTCTGAATAAATCTTTTAAGAAAAAGAAAGAAAACACAAAATATTATATTTACACAGTGAGTTTTGGCATCCATATTCAACTCTGTATTACCACAATATGAGTGGCATGTCATTCGACGGATATGAGCGGGACAGACTGGTAAAGAAAAGAAAAATTAAGTTTGGCATTTTGATTTGATCATTTTTGATATAAGATTTTTGTTAAAAAATTAAATGAAAATGAAAAACAGAGACTGGAAATAAATCTGTGCTATCACACAACCCAGTGAGTATAATTATTTGTCATAAACAGTATTTAAAGGACTCTTGAAAACTCCCAAGCACAATACAAAGAAGGACAAGCCGGTTGGTATTTACATGTAGAGTCTCTCAGGGCTGCGCTCCCCTTCTCTTTCTAATACTCTGAATATATAAAAAAAACAACCAATAAACGAAATATATTTCTGTACACGTCTCTCCCACGGCCGCGCCCTCTCCAGGAGATTATTGTCCTACTGAATTCCCTCCCCGCCATCGTTCCTGTGATCGGTCGTTTGATTCGACCCCCCCCCCCCTTCCTCTGCGGCACGTTAGATGAACCACTCCTTCTTCGACTCGTCGATGGTCTTTTGGTTGTCGGTGCCGATGATGGCCGTGTCCGCCGACTCGCCGGCCTGCTCGCGGCCGCCCTTGGCCTCGTTGGTGTGGTAGGTGCCTTTGTGACGGAACATGTAGCGGATCAGGAACACCAGAGTGCACAAGATGGTGAACAACACGACGGCGATGATGCCTGCGTGGGAAAGGGGGGGGGGGGGGCACACGGGGGACGTCATTCGCATTTCCAACCAGCGCCACTACTGGGCTCCGACCAACTGGGCGATTCGGAGCAGAGCAGGATCAACAATTAGTTGATTAATTGATTGGTCGGTTGACGGAAAGTAATTCGAGTGGAAACACATTTATTTTTGAGTTTCTAAACAGACAAAAAAAATGCGCTTAAATCAATTCTAAAAGAGACTCCTTACCGCCAATGATGGCCGAGTCTCTGTTGACGCCATCAGGAATCACTCGCTCCTCATTGATGGGAAGCTCGGCATCTGAGCGCAGCAAGAAGAAGGTCCAATTCAAACCGCACATTCATACACAGAGCGACTGAGAGAAAACGGGACGACCCCATATGGGGCCCAATCAAGCCAGAACCAGGTCAGAACCACCACCAGAATATTAATAGAATATTTATATATACTTTCAACATATAAACTGATTGTTACACATTACAGCACTTACAGGGGTTCCCCTTGACCCCTACAGACATAACTTGTACAAATATAGAAAGTAGTTCCAGAATTATTACACTTTTTATCATGGATGTGCCATTTTCGAAGCAGAGGCCTAAAAAGAGGCTAATGCATTCCTGCAACATGCAGTCATGCTCGCAGCGACCCAAAAATAAAATAATAATAACATGTGATTCTATCATGCTCATAACTATAACAACATAATGTGCTGTGGTCAGTTTTCACTACATGACTGGAACAGCTTATTGTTATTTCATGTATTTTATTACAGATCCATGACAGCGAGGGGTTAAACGAAAGTTGATGCTTTTGCCTTTTTGCTGGCAGCGGCGGAGGACGTGGATAGTGGCCGTTATAAGGAAAGGGAATCCCTCCATTAAGGAGTATGCATGAAAACGTGTAAAGTAATGGATAGAGCTGAAGACATGAATAACCAAGCCTTATTGCACACGGCAACCTGCATATACACTCAACGGCTTCACCCTGCAATCAGCCGTCAGCTATTTCTGCTGCAGACTGCACTCTCCTCCAGGGAAGTAAAGCGCGTGAGTAAGATGGAGAAGAGGAGGCTGGAAAAATAGGTGAAAACGTCGAGCGGCAGAGAGGAGGAGAGCGATGACGCTCATTATAGCCTCTCAGCTGCTAGGATGTCTTGGGTGATAACGAGGAAGGCGAGCAGGGAGAACCGGTAATATAAAAATGTATAAAGGAAAAATGGAAGTGAGGAGGATGTGATCTGTGAAAAAAATGAGGAGACGGACAATGATCATGACGCATTTAAGGAGGTCTGGATGAATAATGGATTATAACTATCAATAGAGAACCAAACAGCGATCCTTTCGGGATGATGGAGAGCTGACTAATCCACAGGTTACATCGATTGCTCAATTCTGAAGGGACTGACAGCACCAGCTGGTGTTTTTTTTTTGGTGTGAACCTCACCCGTGTTGTCCAGATGCCAGGGATCCGTCGCAGCAGACATCGGTGGGATGGTGAGAGGCGACGACCCGCAGTTGGACTCCACCAGTTTGCCCTGGTAAGACACCGGCGAGGCGGCAGCAGGCGGCCTGTCCGGCTGGCCGGCTATCGGTGTCGCCTGGTTCCGCGCGGCGGCTCTCAGTGCGGTCTTGAGGGGCGCGACGCCGTTGAACTGTACCCGCGAAAGACACCCAATGAAGCCTGGGGTGTTGTAACGCTTGATGAGGTCGGGGTCTATATGTCCAGTTTCTGTACGGAGACACAGATGAGATAGATAGTAAACAACAGGTTTGAATCTACAGGCGAAGAGGAGGAAGAGGAGAAAAAAGCAGAGGACGAACCTACAGATAATCACCTCTAGTGATGAATTAGGAGGGACGTCCTTGAATTAACACCCCCATCACTCTCACAGTCTCTCTCTGTGTCTAAATAGCATTCTTGTATTGACAGGATGGTAGCAAAGCATATGGACTTATATGTATCTCAAGCAGAAAGCATCAACGCCAGTTTCAGCCTCCATGGCTGAGGAAGAGGAAAGCAAGATTAGCCTTTAAAAACATAATTTCTTACAAGGTACTTGTTCTGGTTTTCAAAACAAATTCATGCATGCCTTCTCAAATGAATCGATTTGTGCACTTTTACGTCTGCGCCACAGTCCGGTTCTCTCTCTCTCTCTCTTTCCTTTGACTTTCATCTCTCTCTATTCAAAGAGAACTACTTCACACACGGACCAGCTGGCCCACAGAGCTCAGTCCAGCGAGTGTTTCATCACCATTCAATCTGTGGGCTCTGTAGGTTAAATAGGTCGCATATTCCCCAAACACCAACTGCTGTCTGGAGCTGAAAAGTGTTTAGTTTAGTTAGTTCTCAGAGTGGATTTGGTCCGCAGGGCACCCGTTAAGATCATTTAAGTGATAAAACACCCTCAGCATCATTCATTGCTTGTGTGATGCAGCCTCAAGCGAACGGCGACGTCAATCGTCAAAAACGCTTCTGATGTCATTGAATGAATACAAAAGATTCTGATTGCACACAAACCGCGCACTCAGACACACACATAAGTGCAGAGAAGATAAGAGCGAGGAGGAACGGCAGCGAACCAGACAACATTAAAAAGACTTAAGACGCTGCCTGAAAACAAACATCCTCAGACTCATTGCGCTGATTTCAAAACAGTTAAACACTTTTTGTATTCGTCCACGTGAACCCTGGCTGTGTGTGCACGTTAACATTCACGACTCCTCTGCTGCTGCGCGACTGAACCACACCCAGTGGGAACTGCTGTTTGCACAATGCTGCAGCAGAAGATGAACACGGGACTAACAAGAGTCCTGCCGTGTGTGTACGTGCCTGTGTGTTTATTTACTGAAGTCAGTTGATTGGGGTTCTGGGTATCTGGATATGCCTGGTAATGTAATTTCCTCTCTTTATTCCATTTTGATGGGTCCAATACAAGTGTGTGTGTTTGCGTGTGTATGCGTGCTATTGATTGTGCCGCCCGGAACAGAGCTCAGCACTCGCACAGCTCGGCGCCTCTCGTCCGACATGCCGGTACGGAGACAAACGTTATCCGCTATCAATCGCTTCACACCTTGTGAGCGCTGTGGGTGGTGTGTGATGTGTGTACATATATGTAGTATGAATTTGCATTTACATGCGTCGGCGCGTGGGGAGACAGAGACACAAATAAGTGCCTTACCATAAGCACAGGGAGCAGAATGCTGGTATGAACAAGTCCCCCCCCCTCGTATGCCTGAACATGTGTTGATCACTGCGGAGGCCTGCGTGTGAATACTAATAGGTTCTCCGTTGGGAGTATCGAGGGCTGCTTAGCATACAATGCCGCTGAGTAAATAGCCAAAAACGCTGCCCCGGTTTCAGATTCTTTGTGGCCGGCGATTTTTTTACGAGCAGCTGTTCTTCACAAAGCAGCATGTCTACGTTTGAAATAACACAATGTTGCCCATGAACACCGCACGTTTAACATGAACTGCTTCGTTGGTTTTATCAGCATCCGATCCATCTGGTACTAATGGATGAATTGCATTTCTATTACACACACGGTGGAGTTGTGATTATTCACATATTACATACTGGATGTAGAGGAGTAAAATGAATAGCTATTTAAATGAAATGGAGCCGCTAACAGTGGCCTGTGAACTTACAGAAAGGCAACACTTCTCTAATGCAGTCTCACTGAGTCACTGCTATGATGTCATCTAAAGCAAGTCCCCACTGAAACAAGCACTCAAACTTCCACTAATCAGGATTCAAATAGAAATGGAAAAGAAGCATCACGTTGATTACAACCAGGTCCTACAATGTGTCATACCACACGCCGCATCCACCGCAAAACCGCCACACCCACCCCGACACCGTCACCAACACCAACACGGTCGGCGTGTTGATCAGAGAAATGCAGCCTCACTCGGGCGGCCAGTGACATCGCGTGAATAATTCAAAAGCTGAGGCAGCAAATAAAGACAGTAGTGAGGACGACATGAGGATGGAGGATGCGAGACCTGCAGAACTAGCGATGGGCGGAGGAGGAGAAGGGGAATAGACTGGTGAGTGTTTGTGTCTGCGTGAGTGTGTGAAAAGAATAGAGTGGGAAAGAAATGGGGTGACAAGCTGGGGGCGCTCAAAAGGAAGGGGGGGGGAGCAGAGTAGAGAAGATCAAACCCAGTTGCCATGGTTACAAATGGAAGCTGATGTGGAGGGGAGAGACCGAAAAAAAAAGAAAAGGGAAAGGAATATTAATGGGAATCCACCCACCACACCCTTTGTAAAGTCAAATATGTAATATGTAAAAATGCACGCCTGCCGTAGCTGAGAGACAGAGGGTGAGGGAGAGAGCCAGACAGAAATATTTAAAAAGTGAGGCAAAGCTGTAGAAATGCATCGTTAACCGGGAAAAATACAATAAAAAAAACAACAACAACTAAGACGTCTATTTGCATAATCTTTTACAAAAACGTTGAGCACAACTTTGTTCTTCCTCCATAAACTACGACCGCCATTGGGAGGACATGGTGATGAACTGCAGTGAACACAGGCCCGTATGATGAGCAGGTGGGGTGTGCGGAGGAGTGAGGAATCCAGGAGGTGGAGGTGAAGAGGAGGATGAGATAAGAGCTGCGGTAGATGGACATTGTGTGGAAATCACACCTGGGGTTGCGACGCCCTTCTGAACACACACACACACACACACACACACAAGGAAACACACAGGTGTATCCAGCAAGGCCTCCTCCAGCTTCCTCCTCCACCAGGATGTCAGCTGGCACAGACGGCACGCCAAGAAACACAGACATAGCAGAGACAAAAACAATGATTGTACGGCTCCTTTTGAACCAGGACGTGCACACCAATGCTTCATGTGGGAGGATTCCCTATAAAATCATAGAGCATCACACGTTTGCCATAACGGCAATCTCCAGGTTGTTACGGGGTGAATTAGATACGCCTTCCGAGTGACAGAAACGATGAACTACTCATGCACAATGAACCCACACGAATGAAGGTGCACAGGTACGAACGCACACACATGCATGCGACTATAATTACCTGGAGTTTGCGTCAGTGTCTGTGCACAGTACGTGAGACAAAACCAGCGCCCTCTTCTCTTCTGGCACTCGCTCTCCCTCAGTGTGCTATGTGGATCTCTTGTAACGGTGCCCCATTGGTGTCTCTCTCTCTCTCTCTCTCTGTCTGTCTCTCGCTCGCTCACTGCAGTGCGGTCCCACCCCCACTCGTCCACAGCAGCTGGAGAAAACCCGGATCCCGGAGCCGCGCTGCCACGGATCAGGACTCCCCGGCATTAAGGTGCAACTGGTGGCGATCGCCAGGGACGATGACATGATGGCTGTGCTCCTGACACGCCCACGCTGCGATTATAGTATATATTAATTCAGCGACCACAGGTGCGTCTATCCTGAGCGCACGGCCCACACCGAGGTTAAAGAGATTATACAGCCAGGAGAGGCCCTCTGTGGTATCGGACTCATCCAACAAAAGGCTTCATATCTGCGCTTCAATCACTGTCCAAAGGTCACAAAGCACAAAGGGGTTGAAGCGGTTGCTTCCTGGATGGGAGGAAACTGGTAGGACTTCATCAGGGGGAAGCGTTGTCAACCATTCAGCAGTGAGTGAAGCACATTTGATTGGCGCTTGATAACAAAATCGATGGGTTCTCAAACAAAAGAAACATCCCAACCCATCAAGAGCCCAATGAAAGGATTTACCTCTCTGCTGAAATGCCCTCATTAACGGGTAAAGTGGTATCGGAAGGTCTGTGGTTTTTAAAAACAATTAAGGTCAAAGGTGTGCTGACCTCCCACTTCATGTATCTTATTTCAAACAAGGGCTTGTTCATGAAGTCTCTGTATGAATGTAGGAAGTTGTATGAAGTTCTCAAAAGTGTTTATAAAGACTTCTTTCATTATATATATGTTTATTTGAAGAATATATGTATAGTTTTCACCAATGAAAAACAATATTGACGTTAATCTATACATTAAAAACTCCTATTTACAAATGAGCCATCTATAGGCTCCACACATGCACACACATGTATAATTTAACTAAAAGAAAAGGCGCAGGAAAAGCACATGAAACATTTGAAAAAAGTTCTTGATGGAAGTGTTAGGCATTATGTGAGAATAAGAATGAAGCTTTTACATCTGGGAATAAAACAGTTAAAAGTGTCGTATGTGATGGAGGCGACACGTCTTGGCCTACAGAGGTCATCTGAGGCGGACTCTGGGTTCAACATAGTAGCAAGTCCTGAAAATATTCCATTACTCTGGGGTTGTTAACGCTATATTAATGATACCTCTATTCTTTAACATCTGGCTTGCTTTATTTCCACCATCATTATTGCAGCCGGCTGATCTCATCCCACAATCCTGTGAGGAAATACCGGAGATGTCGCTGTGATCAGAGTGTGCGTGTGTTTGTGCTGGACCAGACACAGAGCCTCTGTGTCTCAGATGCAGAGAATCCGATCGGCCAGCTGTCTGACAGCCTGTCTTGTCTTTGTGGTCCCAACACTGAAGTGGAGCAGATCTGATGAGATGCTGCTTTTGTTCCGTTTCCTTTCTCTCTCCGGCTTTCTCATCCCGGAGTTCTCCTCGTCCGTCTGTTTTGCTCTTTCTTTCTTGATTCAATTACCTCCTCCTTTCATTCTGTGTATTTTTGCGTGTATTATTTTGCTTGATGGCTGGCGAGAGACTCGTGGTAACATCTCACAGCGGTTGTGTCTGTTGATTCGACAGTGTGGGGCCGTGACTTTCTCCTGCACGTCCTTAAAGGGTCTGCGCACCGTTAGTTTGCTCATAATGGACGGCTGTGCTACGTGTTTGCGCATGCTAGTTCACGTGTGTGTGTGTGTGTGCACGCGTGGTGTTGTATTCCCACTGGTTCAGGTGGTGTGTGCTGCAGGTCGACCGTTCTGGCTGGTAAGTGAAGTCAGCCGTTGAGGTGGAGGACCAAAGAGAGACAGACGTCGGGGAAGAAGTGAAGGCAGAAGAAGAACGGGGCAGAATAGACTCCAGCAAGTTGCAGCGAGGCACGAGTAATAATCCAATGATCCAATCTCCCATCAGAGGAACATTATGCGTAACTAAAGAAGCTAATGCCACAGGGCATAAGCCACCGAAACTAAACATGCAACTATGCTCTCTACGCTTATTGTGGTTGAAGTTTAAAATGTTTGGACGCATGATTTAGTTTGACCAATGGTCTTTGCCAGGTCAATGGGAAAGAAATAAACAAATTATATTTTAATCAATTAATATAATATTAATATATACTATAATATATAAAGTATATATTAATATTAATAATTAACATTTACATCAATGGGGAAATCAAGCTAAAAAAAGATGGCGATTATTATGTACTTTCATCTCAACTGGTCGAGCACAGTCCAAAGCTAGGTAGAGATGTATGTTGTGGTCAAACAGATTTTACGACTTTATAAACCACATATGTTGCCAATGAATACAAAGACTAGATGCACCAACATCCCCATTTAGTCCTCTAGCAGCATCTAGTGGACAAATGAGTAATTACAGCCTCTTTTATTATTAATTTATATTCTAGCTATTCTTGGGTTTGAATTGGTATACAATTACGGGAATAAAATATAATCAACTTCATAAGCAGCATAAGCAGTTGAAAAATGACAATAGGTATCTAGAAATGACAACTGCTCAACAACAAGAGACCGCCGTGGCTTCCTTTATCGAGTTGAACCCAATTGCATAAGCTGGGGATCAAAGCAAGGTCAATCCACATTCCACAGGAAAATCCATTTATCTGAATTATTGTTAGCACCGCTGTGGCTGTACACTCACCCACAATTAAAACGATTACCACGAACAAGCGTTTTGAGAGGGGCTTCTGTATCACGACTGACGTTGAGGATAAAGCAATACAATCATCAGCAGTGTGGTAAAAGCACGGCGCCCAGTGCCAAGGTGTTTGAAGCGCTTTATTCAAGCGGACTCACCGAAGACTTTCCCCAAAAACAGCGTCTTCACCAGGCTGAACTGTGTGTCCGACTCGTCTGGCAGCGTGTAGCTGACTGCAGGGTAATGATCCAGCTGAAAACAGTGAGAGACAGAGGGAGTTTAAAAAAAGGTACAAATACTAATCACAGCCTTTTAAAAAGACACCCAAATAAGCAATGTGATGAAGAAGAGATGGAAACTGTCTCCACAGCCGAGCACACAACCAAGACTCCAGCGCATCACCGGAAACTAGGCCTCTGTTGTGAGATGTGAGAGCGTGATGGAGGGCGGGGAACAACTTTAATATCACCGCGGCGTAATGAACTGAAGTTTCTAATTAGCTTGACGGGTGCTATTGATGAGAATAATTCCAGCTCCTGCAAATTGGTTTCTGTTTCGAGTGCCCCAGCAATGCAAAGGTCTTCCTTCCTTCCTCCCTCGTGTTTGCTCACAGGAGAACTGTATCTCCGCACACGCACACGTCTGCAGGAATCACCCCGAGGGCCCAGCCAGGGGACGGCCGGCTGGCTGGAAACAATGACTTTTGTTACTGTGTGTTTTACTGGACTTTTGTTCCCGCTGAACAGCTGTCAGAGATGCTAGATGCTTTTGTGTCTCTTTATACATACACACACACACACACACACACACACACACACACACACACACACACACACACACACACACACACACACACACACACACACACACACACACACACACACACCTAGCATTTCCTAATTTGATTTTTTCCCGAACGCGTAGGTCTCAGTGGAGCATTGTGTGGGTTTTATTCTCCCCGGTGACTGCAGGGCGGGATAATGGGCTACAATTAAATTGTGTTGAGGTTATTTACTTTTATCTGAGAAAACAAATTGGCTGCACAGTCTGGAGGGGGTTATGGGGGGGGGGTCTGAGTCTCAGAACCCCACAAAAAGGTCCACAGAGGAAGAAAGCCAGAGAAGAAACCTAACTGCAATTATTAGGATCCTTTTACGCTGCTTCATTCAGGCAAGACAGTTTTCTCCTTTAAGTGCCGTTGGTGCCTCTTGGCTTACAAGGCTTCCGTAAGGAATGCAATCAGGGATCAGACAAATAGAGAATTAACAATGGCTCAAGTCTTTTTCCCCCTAACAAAGTGCTCAGAAGGAATCTAATTTAGCCAATGTGCTGTATGCAGTCAAACCACTTCACAGCAGAGCTTTTCATGGCAGCTTTTTTTCCTTAATCATACTAGAGAGGTGAAAAAGGAACCGTAGCAGATTAAAAAGAGAGGCCAAGTGTTTTTTTGATGTTGTTTTACTTTAAGTTTGACTTCATTAATAACTGAAGAAACTGAATTGACAGGAGAGGACAGGAGAGGAGGAGTAAGGAGAGGAGAGGACAGGAGATTAGATGTTTGCTGCCTGAAGGGACTCCTCACTTTCATCCTCACAGTGGGTGAGAGGTCGGGGGAGAGTGAGAGAGAGAGAGATGGGAACTCGTTTGGACGCTGCCCTGAAACGCCGTTGACAGCGAGCCGACCAGACGAGACCTCGCCCAACATGCATAGGAACCTCAACACTTGCTTCACTGCGTGACGTGCGCCCGTGTGTACATTTCACTCACATCCACGCAGTGAAACGAGCCTCGGTACTGTCTGATAACCTCAACGCATCAAAGCCATCTTTGCTATCCGTTTTATTCCGTCTGTCCTGGCATTCCTTCGTTTTCTCTCGGTCTCCATTCTTCTTCTGCTGTCTGTTTTCACACAGATTCCCATACCCGCGCTTTGTCTTCCCGCTTATTCTCTGCTGTGTGTTGAAACTAAACGGTTGCTTTGTCAAAAAGCCCCGATTGGAGAGGAGAGACCTTCGTAGCCTCGGGTGAAGCCTCCACTCACTTTCTGTTTTTTCTCTTTTTTTTTTACCATGGAAATAGAGTTTGATCTACTGGAGGGCCCACCAGCACAACTGACTTCTATGGCATCTGACTCAATCTCTGCCTCTTACTCATGCTCTTAAATCTCAGATCAAAGCAGCTGTAACGAGGCCTCAGACGAGCTTGTAAGCGAAATAATAATTGGTTGGTTGGATTTCAAATGCTCGTGGCTTTTTCTAACAAATTTGGCATTTTAACCGTCAATGCGTAATGCAATAATATGTGATCCAATTTCAAACCCAGTAATTAGCCAGTCTACATTCCGGCCCACAGTTATTCAGTTTGAACATTCACATGCAGCAGTTCAGCGTGTTTGATGGGCCCACAAAATGCTGTTAATGGGTGACGTTTCAAAGTTGATAAAGCCAATTTGTGAGCAAACAACCGCCTCTTTGCACATCCAAGGCGCCGCTCGGACCGCACGTTAGCGCCTTGACTGATCCGATCACCAGGGAACCGCTCTAAGTGCAAATGTGAAGGCACCCAGAGCCCATTGAGGACGCGTTAAAAGATCCCGAAAGCTGAGACGACAGTCTGCCTGCATGGAGCCACGATGCTTGAGCGCAGGAATGTATCCAGAGCCACATCCGAGCAGATATTTGATTGCATGCTGGGAAAATAGCCCGTGCGGACGCGTTGACCAAAAAGCAATCGCAGAACCACCGGCTATCGTGGGAAAAGATTTAGATTGTTATAAAATGAGCCTGTGAACTGGTTACGGTCGTAACTGCTCCTGCTTCCTGGTGTTTGACGATCAACATCTTTTCTCCTTAATGTTATAGATTTAAGAATTGAATCTAGTTTTGGGGGAATTGCTAACACACAATTAAAAAAAAAACTAAACAAATATCTCACATCTTTTGCCTGAGCAACTTCATTCCTAACTATAAATGACAGTCCTAATGTATGTTATGTTGTTTAGTGTTTTTGTTGTCTTTGCTGTCCTCCTGAGCAGAACTAGGTCTTGTTCCTCGCAGCTCACTGATGTGACCGTGAGAATGAACTGTAACTAAAAGCCCTCGTGGTGCGAGGAGGTAGAAGGCAGAGGAGGAATGGTGGGACAGAAGGAAAGAAGTGCGAGAGTCGGATGAATTAGAATAAATAATAATTCATCGAGACGTGTCGCAGTAAGTCTTCTTAGCTGTTGACCGGACAAGATCTCACTCGTTTTGGTATGCGTGTCGACATCTGTTTACCCGTGGATATTAAGGGCATGTTTGTACCTTGAGCCGAGCCCAGAGGCAGAAAGGCAACATGAAAGTTTTACTCATCAAAGCTATCTTCGTTAGCGAACCTTCTGGCTTTAAACCCTTATCTCTAAACCTAATCTCTCGTTTCTCTCCTTGTTTAAATAGCGACGCTATCGTTTAAAAAAAAAAAAGATGAAATGGATTGTTGTTTCGAGCAGCCTATGGCCGGGGGGGGGCGGCGCACGTGGATTGGTAAACCGAGGGTATGCGATGGATCCTCGACATTTCAGTCACGCATTGGGATGTAGTCAATATCTCAACCAAGCAGGCAACCGTCAACCGGTGGAAGACGCGGTGTGCATGCATGTATGCGTCTGTGATAAGAAGATGAGCGCTCTGTTGCTCCTATCACTCTCCGTGCCAGTAGAAAAGGGGATGTGTTACAGGTCGAAGCGCTCCCACTCGGGGGGAGGAAGGGAGGGGGGTCAGCAGCTGCAGGATTTGATTTGCTCCGAAAATGAGGACGATTTCCAAGGGATTTTTTTTTTCCAGTTTTCAATTTTCTTGCTGACACGATTGTCCGCCGTGGTCGGCGGATGCCGCTGATGAGATTTTAGTGCGGCTAGGGTCGAGGCTTTCAATGCAATGACAGGACACAGACTCATGCAGAGGAGGAGAGGTAATGATTATTGGTTGGCAAAGTGTACTGTGATGTGCTGGGGAAAGAGGTGATGACGACCTCGTGGACGGAGAGTAATCTGTGAGGAAAAACATGGTTGAAACAAAATGCGATTCTCTAAGCAGGATCATTAAATCCGTAGAGAATAAACAGTGCAGAATGAAAGGAAATATCTGGGATATCAGTAAGAGCAAGGTTATACAGAAATATTTACACAACGTTCTCACGAGTAATCTGCTCGGGTTAATGCAATGCCTCCTTCTTGCCACTAGAGGGTAGATTGTGAGCATGTAATATTTGTGTACTGTATGAAATGGTTCAAGTGTAGATCAATGATGCCACGATACACAATGTGCAAACATTCACTCACATCTCCCGGTCTACAGGAGGCCATGCATACACAATCTCTCTATGAAACTAGTCTTTACAAGTCGCTGCTCTCCGTTGAGTCCTCCTTAAACTGCAGCCTGGAGCAAATTGGAGCATTTTAGGACAGAACAATCTCTTAATAGTTTATCTGAATTCTCACTCAGTCCTTGACAGCTACTGACTGAGGCTTGACTGTATTGATCCCCACTAAGCTGTTGGGCCCACAACCCCCCCCCCACCCACAAAACCACAGATGCACACACAACCGTGGGCATCTGTGTAACACGGACACACTCAGTCGCTCCCGCAGTGTCTCATCTGCACGCAGCCGCGCCAAATGCATGCAGACGGGATCACGCGGCAGTCGTACAGCGCGCGCAGATCGATGTGTTCTCTCTGCTGCTATGCTTGGGCCGTGGAAGGGGGAGTGGATTAACTGTGGCAGAGGAGAAGCACTTTCATTACAAGGGTTAGAAAGAAGAGCCGGCCACAGCTCTCCCATTCGACTCAATGCAAACAGCGGCTGGGTGTCGTGCACGCGCACGTCGGACGGCTCCTTTTTTCGCTCGGAAGTAGGATCTCAACATTGAAGCATGAATCTTCTGACTTCAACTGAGCATCAACTAAAAGACTTAAATATGCGTTTGAAAGATGTCAGATGTGTGTGTGTGTGAGCGGCTCGTACCTGGATGGTGATGCTGCGGTCCACACGGGACATGTTAATGCTATGTGGCTGTCCGTTGGCCAGGTTACGCTGGTCCACGTCTATGGAGAATGGCTCCTTCAGACCTCCCAGGTAATACCGGACCTGTAGTGAACCTGAACACGTACACACTTGTGGTTTGAAACCTTTCGTGAGCCCTCATCAGTAAATACCTGAAGTTCTAGTTTATGTCATTACATTTACACGTGCAGTTGTACATTGCGACTGCAATGGAATGCATGTGTGCTGGCGCTCTAAGCCCTTCAAACTATAGATAATAAGAATGCATTAAAGACGGCAAGAGCAAGAAATTCTTAGTTATTCAAAGAGCCGGCTGTTCAAATGTGTAACTGCCAGGGGAGAGAAACTGACTTTGAAGTTCTGATGCTTTGAATAAATACAACAGATCTTCGAAATAGTTCTCAAGGACCGGCTGCATAAATCATGATTGCTGATGAGTCCATAAGTAGTTAGTGTCTTATGCTAATTGATGGCACTTAGGACTTGCCATTTATATTTTATGAATGAATGAATAAATGTTGTCCTTTATACACTTGTTTTAATACAGAAGTACTCGGAATGAAGCCAAGACGAAATGCAGTTTTCTTGTGACGGGGCAAGCGGCGGTGATTAAAGGTTGAAACCCTGAAAGATTCAGAGGACCCGCAGTTCGACTGTAACTGGGATTATAGGCGTCTCGGGCCCGCTCCTCTTTTTTTTCAGTGGTGAGCTCACCACATGTGTGCGTGTGTGCGTAGCTCACCGTTCTGCCTCAAGACCACGGCCAGATAATCCTGCGTCTTGGAGCTGACATACATCAGAATGGCTGGAGCGTTGGAGGTGCTGAAACTGAACGCCACTTCCTCCTTTGTGAGGTTCACCTCATGTGGCGCCTGCTGGCGCGTCAGGGTCTTTGAGTCCCTGCTGGCTCCTGCGACCGCCTGCGGCATGAAGTTGTATTTGACCAATGTTCCTGCCTCGAAGAAGCCGCCGACATCTGGGTGAGACGACGGAAGCAGAAAGGACAAACAAATGAACGCACGTGAGGCGCCGAGTGAAAAAGGGAGACAGAAAAAGAAGAGAGCTGGAGTCGGAGGCCCACAGCTCGATGCCTCCGCACAACCAACCTAGCTGCAGATTACATCCGTGTCTGTTTATTACCTCATTATTGTATTAGCCCTGAGTTGTTGTGGAAATGCGCTTTGTGGGGTCACGGTCAAATTCTAGAGAGATTGCGTTTGTGCGGAATGGGATCGATGTGAGTTCACGGTGACCTTTGACCACCAAAATCCAATAAGGATGTTTGTGCAGAATCTGGAGACATTACCGAGATATCGCGTTCACAAGATGGATGAGCGACTCAAAAACGATGCTCCCGTCCACACACACACACACACACACACACACACACACACACACACACACACACACACACACACACACACACACACACACACACACACACAACCCTTGTTCTATCGAAGGGAAGCCTCAGGGGAGTGCATATAAACTGACACTTGTCAGGACACAACTGGCGAAACATATCAAATGGTGAGAGAGGAAAAGGCCAAACACAGAAATGTGCAGGACTCGCTTTGCTCCAGCATCTAAAACCAAACAACGCGTTGTTTGCCAGTACATTAACGGACCTAATGGCATATTGCAGCCATTCCAGGAGGCTTATTGATTCATGTAATCAAGTGATGAGAAGATGGGGCCTGACTCCTTTTTATGCTCCTTTTGTACGTGTGTGTGTGTCCGGAGAGAAAAGGCAGAATGTGCGTGAAATTAAAGAGAAGGGTTCCAGAGAAAGCAATGAGCCTCGGGTTGTGTGTGTGTGTGTGTGTGTGTGTGTGTGTGTTTAAATGCCATGCAGTGTTCCTTGACGTGTTTGTCTTCCCCAGTGTGGCAGTGGTGAAAATGTAGAATTGGCGTTTACACAAGAAGGATACTAAGTGAACACATGGGATGTTATCTTATTTTAAAGCTTCACTTCACCCATCAACTCCTGCCGGCCTCAATACAATAAATACTTCAAGCTACAGTTAGGTCAATATGAGGCTTATTACTAGAAAATAGGAAAGTTCTCTGACTGGCACCGCCGTTCAGGCCAGACCTTGTTTCTATTCAGCTACACCACAATTTTATCATCTATTCTGCTGCAAAATGATGTTGTTTCAAGCTTTGGAAGTCTGGGGAGACACATTCTTACCAATTGTTCTGCAATTACCAGGCGAAGAGCTTGTGAAGTTTTCAAATAGGCTGCTTCACACTTCCTCTTCCAATGCATTTGATCATAGGCTTGAATCTGACAAAACGTAGTATTTCTGTCAGAGCAGAAGGCTTCATTAAAATTCTTTATAAAGCAATATATGGAAAATAAAATCAATGCAACAAGCCTCAATATCTTTTGACAACCTTGTTCACGTTTTATTTTACTTGTTTCAAGTGTCAGGTCAGACGTGGATTATTGGTGCCCTCTTTTACTCTAAATGTGTCAGTTGATAAGTTATAAAACTGTAGTTTAGGAGCAGCAGACTGTCATCCTCTTTAAGTAGCTTTGTTTAACATGTAAACATGTTTAATTTTAACATGTATGTGCTTTAGAGTAAATCATATTTCTGCATTGTAAAGTGAGTGAGAATGATCTAATGTCCTAGATGAGTTAGCTACAATAGGATTTTCAGGCACCTAAAAAGGTTAAATTGACAACCTGTCAATCACAACTTAGCCCCGCCCTCAATCATACAGAGGTTGTCAACTGTTTGGGACATAAAAACCATAACCATAAGAAAAGGCGACACTTTTTCAATAATCCGTTAACGGGTAAAGGTTGAGATTCTAGTTAGTTTTGGACCTGGGTAATCTTGCTCTGGCCCCTTTCTACTTTTAGTCTTCACAGTCCTCCTCTGACGTTCTCCCTAAGGTTTCTTCCCTTTTTTCCCTCTTGGAAGGGTTTTTTCATTTTTTGGGGAGTTTTTGTGCCGATGGAGGGTTTCAGGACAGAGGATGTTGTATGTGTACAGACTGTAAAGCCCTCTGAGGCAAATTTGCGATCATGGGCTATACAAAATAAAATGAATTGAACTCTAAACTTTTCACACACACACACACACACACACACACACACACACACACACACACACACACACACACACACACACAGGACATCTCCAGGGACTCTTTACAAGTGTGTGTGTGTGTGTGTGTGTGTGTGTGTGTGTGTGCGTGCGTGCGTGCGTGCGTATTTTATGTGTAAATAAGCCTCTGCAGGTAAATGGACAAATGTGTGTCCATTTATTTGCATGTACATGTGCAAATGGGCTCCATGTGACCCCGCAGGGCAGAAAAGCTGCAGGATGACAGTAGATAATAATAATACTGAGGGGTCCCCTGAGCAGTGTGTAAATATGGATACAATGGAAATGCACTATGCAATTATGGATGGCTTCATGCATTTTTCACTCGCTGGGAGGATGGAGAGAGAGCGGGAGACGTTTGGAAAAAAAGCAAAATAAAACAGGAGAGGGGCAACCGAGTATAGAAGTATGGTGGGAGAACAAACAAGGAGGTGGGAGGAGAGGGAGAAAGAGTATAAGGAGGCTGAGAAAATGGCGGAAGAGGAAGGGCATATTTAGAGGAGGGGAGAAAAGAGAAAAAAAAAAGGCGGAGAGGGAGTAGAAAGAAAAGCAAACGTTTCAGACACAAAGCGCCGCAAGAGGAGGAAGCAGTGAGTTGTAGATAAAAGCGAAAGGACCTCAGAGAAGACCAGAAAAAAGGGAGAGCAAAGTCACATGTCATGGAGCAGACAGACACAAGGCTGTGCTCTCTCCCTTTCTTTGCCTCACTCTGTTCTCTGGCACACGCACAGATCATCTAAACACGCACACACGCACGCACACGCACACACGCACACGCTCACACCCAGACAGTAATCTCTGTTCTCTAAATCCTGAAACGCCTGATTGGTCATGAAAGGATTCACAGGAGGTCTTCTCATGTTTTACACTAGCAAATCATCACACATTGTCATCCTCTTCCTAGGCACACAAACACACACACACACACACACACACACACACAGACACACACACTCACTCACACACACTCTGCTTTCTGTCATCTCCCCCACCCCTTCCCACCAAGAAAAACACTATTAGGCTTTAGGAAACAAATTAATTCACGTGTCGGGGATCAACTCTGTGAAGGGGAGCAGAAACCTCTGACAGCACTGCTGCTTTGCTCCCCAGAGCATTTTATGGAAACTTGTTTTTTTGGGGGGGATCTTTAACGCTGCATCTAATGAATCCCAGTGAAACAAACATGCGACGTGGTCGCAATATTCAAGGGTGCAGGAGCGAGAGTTTACACTGCGATATTTCTCTTCTCCAAACTTCAGAAGCCCGGAAGCCACAAACACGACGCTGCGTGAGGTGACTTGCATTTTTTGTCTTGTGGTTCGATCTCTCGGCTCTGCCTTTGCACCGTTGCAGCGTTCGGCGAGTGCATTCCGGGAGAATTGGCGGGTAAGCACAATGTCACTCGCAATCGATGCCTTTTATCATAAACCCACACACACACTCACTTTCGACACCGACAGCTCCAAATTGAACAGGAAGCTATACAGTCACACGGCACAGCAAAGATCACAGCGGGTTGTCGGGCAATGGCAACTACTGCAGCAGTAATCATGGCGCTATTTGCCTCCGGCTTTGTGGACTAAAGAGGAACCCTGCCAATGATTACGTGGCTTCACAAAGATCCCCGCAGAACTTACTGGGAAAATGGAAGCTGCGAGATAAGGACTCAGTGTGTCATCTTCAAATGCGGAGCAAAAAGGTAGTTTGTGAGGTCTGAGGAAAGGGAATAAAGAAAATAAAACAATAACTTATCTACCGCTACCTGAGGGAATTGCAAACAAACCCTGCAGCGTTTTCAAAAGGGGAAAATAAAATCGGAGACAAGATAGTTACTGAAAGCCCACACAAAGAGAGATTGATTTTTCTTGCAATTGATGTTTGAAGGATGAAGAGCGACATGATGCATTTGATGGCGGCGCTGATGGTCCCGTGATCTGCCGCCGACAGGAGACTGAAAATACCTCCCAAGATGCCTCTCACCTCTGGTGCAGAACGGGCCGTCGTAGGCGGTGGTGCTGCAGTCACACAGGTAGCCGTTGTACCTCTCCACGCACTTCCCTCCGTTGCGGCAGTACATCCCAAAACTGGTGCAGTGGCCTTGGCAACCTGGCTTGACCCCGGGCGTGACCTTGGCCCTCTCCTCCAGGTCCAGGGTGATGCCGTTCATCCGCAGGGCTCGGATGCAGCCCAGGAAGCCCCTCTGCCCCCCCGCCGCACCTGAGGGAGCAATGGAGCGGAGGGGCGGTGGGTGTCAGTGAAGCGAGCAGGTGTAGCATTTGAGAGACAGGAACGAGAATGAAATAGAAAGAAGGCCGAATGGAAGTCGGGGGGGGGTCACGGAATCGGGGTCACTCTCAATGTAGGAGGCGGTTTTAATCTCTTTTCAGAAAACGTTAATACCCCACCGCCCGGAGGAAGCCACTGATGTCCCGTTGATCGTTTCCCGACTGTGATGCTGTTCTTGAAACGACCTTCAACTCGTTCGAATTCCTCACTAATTAAAACGGCCAAATGAACCCTGCGTCTTAATGAACATCTCACAAGTACACACACGCAAATGGATGCACGAGTGCCTACAAACTGCATACCACAGGAAAAAAAAAACCCCAGACACAATTAATACACACCGCACGCGGCGCACCTGATGCAGACGAGTCAATGCAAGCATTAATGCTCAGCCTCGGGGTGTCGATATCCATTCCTCTAAAGCGCCTCCTTCGTCATTCTGGCCCTGCACCATTGCAGTCTAACTACCCATTAACTTAGACAGAGTATGGGGCGTTAAATAGATTAATCTGCACCTAAATGACTATAGCAATAAACACGCTCATGAACATGCACCCACAGGTATTTATTCGCACGTACAAAAGCACGCCCACGGAGGGCGCTTACTGCTCTATGGATAAATACATGGCTACGGGCGCAGACGCACTCACACACTGACATTAACAAGAGCTGAGGGGCGTTTTACTTATTAAAACCTCTCAATTGCATCCTTTGGATTATGGAAAAGCGGTCGTCCAAGAAGACACGTTTAGGGGACTAGAACACAGATTCAGATCAACAGCTGCATTCTTGCACGCAAACATCTGCTGGCTGAGCCGCACAGGTACAAAGCAGATCGGATGAGATTACGCATGCACGTACTTCTCCAGCCAATACGGGGGGGGGGGGGGGGCTTCCACGCGCCTTCTCCGCTTTTCATTCCCACAAAGGGTTTGACTTTTACCAGACCTGTTAATTAATCTATTTTGTAGCGCTGATTGGCGGGAGGTTTCCGCCACCTGTTTACCCAGGTCGGAATCAGCCTCTGATTGAACGGAGAGCAGGTTCTCAGGCCTGCAGAGACCCCCCCCCCCCACACACACACACACACACACACACGCACACACACATACACAACCACACACACACACACCGCAGTGCTCACGGATTCTCAGCAAATCACAAATGGTGGGTAATAGAGCCTGACTGATGTCAACATTGGCTTCTCACAGAAATACAAGGTAAATATGGTGGCTTTAAGGCAAACGTATGAATGTGCAATAAATTGCAGGAATATTTTGAAGTCTGCATTTCATTCTTACTTCAGGTATATATATATATATATATATATATATATATATATATATATATATATACACATACATATGTTGGTCGACGTGTTTATGCAATATTACCGTTCATTCATAAATGAGAAAAAGTCAGACACAAGCAGTAATAAGAGTGAAACACAAATGTAGCATGCGTTTGCACTTATTTATATGGGTAGCGCCCGTGAATGTTACCCTATAATGATGATGTGCTAATGAGGAAACAGTCATTAGGGTATGCACTCTGGAACACGGCATTCACACCCATTCACATAGCAGCTAAATTACCAATTATAATAGAAGTCATGAAATGTAACCTTTTGACCTCCATCGTTTTGTGAGCGTGTTTAAGTTGGTAGAAATGCCACATTGCATAGTAATGATTAATGAAAAGGCAGTGAGCTGTGAACTACTGCATAGGGTAAAGAACATGGACAGACAGTATGCATGCGTTTGGATGTGGACTGCTATTTTAAGCCGAATCCAACAATACAAATTAAGGCCCCATTTACAACGACTGGCTGCACATCTGCTGCACTGCTGTTGCTCCATTATCGTTGTGCGAGTGGTTTAATAGTGCAGCGGTTGGTCCTGTCTCTTTCTGCGAGTCCGTCTGCTGTTCAGCACCAAAGAGATCCCCAAAACAGTGTTTGCCGACTCCATATTTACTGGGGATGCACTTTAGGATGCAATTTGTTTGGGTTTTAGATGAATATTTTTGATTCATGTCGTCCAAATGGCATTTCAAAAGCCTTCCTGGCCCACCGGCCTTTCCAGGAGGGAGATATTATCATAGCAATCCCATTTTATCAGCCCAGTGCTTTAGTTGTTAGTTCAGAACAATGTTTTTTTCTGACTATACCTCCCTTAAACGTCCATAATGGGCTCGCTTCTCATGGATCACTGCATGGAAAATGTACTCGTGTGTTGCAATATGGCGGAATGCAGGCATTCCTCACGCCTCCGTATACATTCCTGTTTGTGTGTCACATTTCATTATACTCATAGGCTACTTATATATCAAATGTTACCTACTGTCTTTGCAGGTGAGCGAGGCAGGCTTCCCTGTCACAGGTTTGGTACACATGCAGTGAGTAGAAACAAGCAAGATGTCGATCCGGGAAGACCGAAAAAGCATAGCAGAAAAAGGAGGATGCAGATAATGCAGAAAAGAAAGTGAAAGAAAATTCAAACACGGGCAAATTGAGGAAAGACATGCAGAAACATTAAAAAGCAAAAAAAGGGTGAGCATTAATCAAGAAGGGAAACAAAAGAACAGATGGTTGCAATAAATTAATCAAATATGGCAAGATTGATGCTTATGTGCATGTATGAAGTGAATTTGGGAGCTAAAAGTTAACAGTGTGAAGGAAATGACAGCAGGCTGATGGTATAACATTTACTCTCAGGGCCGTTAGAGCCAATGAGCCACTGTGCACTAAACACTAAAGCAATCAAATGCTTGATGAGGAGCACATTGATTGAAAAGGAGAGAAGGGGCAGATATGAGGACAAGGTGGGAGAATTAATCTAATCTAACTTCCCGGTAGTGACTGGGTCACTTCCTCTGAAACTGCTCAAAGCAAATGAGGATTAAGCTGGTATTAGAGGGCAGATATGAGCAGGTGCTGACTCCTCTGTGGTTGTTGTTACACACACAGCTTTTCATTGGACCAAAGTGAAGTACAAATAAGCTAGAGAGACAAATCGGCACATGATAGGTCCCGTGGTTCAGCCGGGTTTGCCTCCGCAGAAGTGATGAGAGGGTGAAATGATATCATAAAGGCGGTCCAGGCGGTTTAAGGCCATCACTTCCTGATTGGAATTTGGAACAATCTCCTTTGGGCAGAATTTTCTTTCACGAGATAGAGAGAGAACTCTGATCCGCCTCAGCACTTTTCCTTCTTTCAGCAAATCCCGGAAACTATTTTAGCCCAAGGATTTTGGTTTATAGAATATTAACAGCTCAGCGGAAAAAAGGCAGCGTGTCACAGGGATGGGAAAGAATGAGAGGAAAACTGGACATGAGTTCTGGCATTTGAACCTTTGATGAGCTTCAGACGCATTGTGAGGAGAGGGGGGAAGAGTGAACCAATCAGACCTTTAAAAAAGCAATTATCGTTGTGGTAATAAGGTTTGATCTGTCTTATACAGAATATGTGTGCGGGATAGAAAAAGTCAGAAGGTTGATATCTCGTCCTTGCAATAATAGTTTCCTAATCCCCAGGAATATAAATGCTGAGTCAAAGTATGAAACAAACGACCTCTATAAGTGAATTAAGTTGCCAGCACAGAGGCTCAGTTTTAACTTCATCAAGATCACTTACATGGATTAATTTCTCATGATGTGCCTTTGTGCTCATGCGTGCATATCATTACATGGGAACACGGCTGTGTGTGTTTCCTGGATTAGTATGAACCTAATTAACAGAGTGGCTAAAATGGTCCGAAGCTGGTCCGCCTTTATCTTCTGACACAATCAGACTTCTTCACAGCGGATCTCTGCATCAGAGGGCAACATTACGGGAATAAAAAGGCGGCACGTAGCGTTTATTAATTCAACCCGAGTGCGATGACACGGTTGATGTGTACTTAGGCATTTCCCTCACACACACAAGAGCTCGCAATTATGGTGGTTTGTCTCTGTGAGTGTCCCTCCTGCACGAGGCGGGTGTTAAATCCCCAAATTGCAATCAAACGTGTGTGCTTTTGTCACTCTTACGCATCAGGGTTGTTAATTGTTTGGATTGCGTGCGCGCGCGCGTGTGTGTGTGTGCGTGCGCGCCTTACCCACGTAGAGTTGGCTGAACAGCTCGAGCCGCGTGTGGCCCTGAGCGGGAGCGAGCCGGGACGCCCGCTGAGTTTGGTCCAGCTGAAGGACCGACTCCTTCACGTTCCGCTCGGCACTCACGCGGTGCCACTGGTCGTCGTTGAGGGGCGCGGCCGAATGCACCGTCAACTCCACCGGTCCGTTTCCAACGTCGAAGGAGAAGGAGATGACTTTAGGAGCTGCGTAGAAAAAAAAAAGAAAAAGAAAGAGAGTCAATTCTCTCTGATTGTCGGTTACAGAAGTCAAAGGTTAAACCGCACGGAGCAAACAACACGACTTTCCAAATCTCTGTTGTTTCGTCGTCCACTCTGCAGGTAAACATGCATTCAATTTCTAATCTAAATGGCTCATTTGTTTCAAGGCGATTCATTCGGATCGTATAGATTTCAGCTTTGCAATACACGACTGCTCACAGCTTTGGACAGCATGTCACACACAGTCACACAGTCGATAGATGCCAGCAACCGCTGGAATTTTTACATGGCGCGCAGTTGTGGCACAGCAGTTTTCATGATTTTATTTTCTCATTTGTTCAAGACTTTCAGAAGTTTTTTTCGGGGGGGGGGGTGAAAGCCAATGAGCGAGAGAAGAAACAGATGAAGATAAATGCCAGAAAGACTGTGTCAATGAACAAAGAGAAGCACAATTAATGAAAAATGAGGGCAAGATGGCCTTGTTTTTCATTCATTTTCATCATCTATTAGTAAGAGGCTTTGTGTGTAAGTGTGTGTGTTTTGATGGAAGTTCAGTAGCCTGAGATTTCAACAGAACAACAGGGGGCACTGTTATTCCTTGAATGATTACAACAGGTCAAATGTTCATCGATATTTCATAATTACAATGTGTGTGTGTGTGTGTGTGTGTGTTTCAGCCTACCACCTGTCCATCCCAGATGCTTTGCTACTGCATTGACGAGGTCACAATCTAATGGATTTAGATTTAGATGAACAGTGATCAATCTGAAAAGTTTGTGACTGAGTGTGTGTGTGTGTTCTTATTTTAACCTCTAATTCAACAGGTGGAATTATAGCCACGTGACAAGACATTTTAAAAGGTATTAAGCTATAGAGGTATTATACAGCTTTACATGTATTAATGCTAAGCCGCGTTTCTATTTCCTGAGTGGAAGACACTGGTGGTTTGGACCCACAACTATAACACGTCCATGTTTTTGACTAATTCTGCATAACGTGTGGACCAAAAGGTATTTTATTAAAGCTTTTCACTATAAATGTCAAAAGAATCTTTCTTGCCATGAACGGAATGAAGCAACAGTATTTTCCTGCTGCTGAGATGATTTGGAATTGTCAAATTAAAACCAGATTTGACTCTTTCCTTAATGTTTGGAACCACTGTGAGACCGCCGTATAAAAGCTGTATATTCTGGGTGGCGCCATATGGTGGTAACGGGCTCCCGTGTGCTGCCGTCTTAGCGGTGATGAATCACCACTTTGGAGCTTATATATTACTGCTCCATTATGCCTCTCTAGGCCGAGGTGTGAGAGTGGGTCATTTTATGGAGTGGTCATTTGGGAAAAATACTTCTCTTTTTTCATAATCACTACGCTCTGCCCTTTTCTTTCGATTTTAATATTGCTTTTATCTAATTATCCGTTCCATTCTTCAAACCCTTGACGTCCTCCTGCATGGCGCATGTTCTTCTGTCTTACTTGTTCTCTCCAACATCCCCACCACGTCCTCCTGTGTCTCTCCTCCCATCCCTCATTATCATCTCTTTACATCCTTCATTCCTTAACGTCTGCATTGCTAGTTACTTTTTTTTCTTTCAATTTATGCTTTTTTTTTTTTTTGCATTCGCCGTGAAGAATTAACAAAATCGATGAGCTCTGAAAACGCTTAAAAACATTCAACCACCCACAAAACACAACACATAAAAGTATTTAACACCCTCTGACAGGTTTTAGTACACTGAATAAATGACGTCTTTGTGCAGAGAGGAGTGACATCAGTTATTTTAAATGAAAGAAAAGCATATATATCAGAATAATAGAAACAAAGCTACAGCGACGCTGCTATAGCAACGGCGAGCGGCATGTGAGTGTGTGTTTGCTCGTGTGTCGTTTGAGCCGCACTGCCGATCAAGATGGACGCACGACAACTTTCTTTTTTTATACTTCGTCCATCGGCAGGAACGAAAGCTTAAGCGCCCTCCGAGCGCAGAGCCCTCATCTGTTTAAACAGCGGTGACGGAAGCGTTAACTTGCCGTACGTTGGCTTTGAGCAAACCAGAGGTTTTTTTTTTTCTTTAAGCTCGCTATTAATATTTCAATATGTAGACTTATTGTGTGCACAGAACAGATAAAATTAGTTTAATATTTACTTTACTGAAGGATGTATATAATAGAAAGCGGTGGCAGTTGGCTTTTCTAATTAGTAGATGACTTCATGTTGCTTTTGAGACGCCTTTATGGCCCGCAGAGGCATCTGACAACTTATTGTCTTCTATCTGGTCCTCACAGAAAAAAGGCAATATCACAATTTTAAAAGCCGAGGTCCAAGCGAGAAAGAGCGTTTTGCAGTTGTAACCTTTGGGCAAGACTATCAGTAAAATTGCAGCCTCTTAAAGACTCAAAACATGGCATATACCCACTTTGAACTGAAGCACAGAGCACCCCACTAAGTAAAGAAAATCTGTACTTTGGAAGCTTTTCGATCTGTCCCCCAATCCCATTGCCAGTCGAGTTTGCATGGTTCAGATTGGTTCTTCAATCACTCACATGTGTCTCTGTCTACTTCTTAAGACTCACAGAGGAATAGTCTCTTCCTGATGGTGTTTAGTCTGCTGTGGTCACGGTAGTGTGGGTGTTTGTACAAGGTCGTGTGTGTGTGTGTGTGTGAGTTTTGAGCTCCTGCAGTGGCGCAGCTATGCTATCCTGGCCTAATGCTAGTTATTTCATACCTTGACTAAATTGCAGCAGATAGAGTTTTTGCACCAGCGAGAGGGCCGAGATTATGTGTGTATTTAAGTGTGTGACCATGCAAGTCGCTTAGCGAGTGTGTGTCTAAACGGGGGCTGTGGGGCAAAAACGTAAGATGATAGCAACGGAGAGGGGGGTGGGGGGGAATCGATGTGGAGCATTTTGAAAGCTTCGGGGAGACACACACACACACACACACACACACACACACACACACACACACACACACACACACACACACACACACACACACACACACACATGCACATTATCTCCTCTGGCCTGCTGTGCAGCCGTGACAGACTAGGTACTTACTATCTCTGTGTGTGTGTGTTTTTATGTGAACGTTTAGAAGTCAAATACTAATCCCCTTTTGATAAAATTGTCACTGTACTTGCATGTATAGTGTAGCGTCAGCACGTTTTTTCCCCCGCAAGAATAAGCATGCGCATGCATTTGGTGTGTATGTGACTATGTTTAACTGTTGACAGTATTTATTGATATATATATATATATATATATATATAACAGGAGTGTCCCATCTTTTGATATTTAAAATGCTTTGTTCTTCCCCATTTCTTTGATAAGACGTTATGTGATGAGAGCAGATGTTTCAGAAGTCTCAGAAGTTTTAATTCTCAAATCTGACTTAATGTGTCAATGCCAACAGCACTGTCTCCTTTTGAATTTTAATGAATCTTAATGTTTTGCTCTATAATCACACGGCAACGCGCATTTGGTCTGCTTATCGCCGCGGGGCTGAGCTCCTTCAACTACACACAAACATGGACACAAAACACACGTATGAAGCCTGAATAGAGGGTGAAGTGGAGGACACTCAAGTTAACAGCAGCTACGCTCGTTGCTGTTCGTGCAATAGAATATTTGCGATTAAAAAGCAGATGCTTTTTCAATATATATCTGTTAAAAAAAAGAACGGGCATCTGAACAAAAGTGAAAAACTTTTTGACTGATACAGTCAGATGTCTGTGATCTTTATTAATTTCAAACTTTATCAAACAGTGTACGTTATTCATTATATTAAGTTACTTTTTTTTCCTGTGAGAGATTAATGACTATTTATTGTGATGTTTTGCTCCTGTAGCGTAACTGTTTCCGCTAGAAACAACATTTTACATATCTTTAATATTAAAATTTTATACAATATATGATTGTCAACCAGGCGAATGTCACACCCAAACAGAACAGAACATAGATGCATCGTCTCAGATGATGTAAGTTTATTTCAACGGTTGTCTCAGTGTGTTCACATGCATCACTTTTTCTCTCTCCACCGTAAGATCCTGCAAATCTGTCACAGCTCAGAACAACAGGCTGCGGTTTTAACCTTCGACAGGAAAAAGCTTGTGAAACAGGCGACACCTGGTTTGCAAATGTACCAAATATATCCAAACACAATGTATTCTACGTATTTCAGTTTTCAGAGTTCAGCTAGAGGTGCGAAAAATATCTTTACCCATTTGACTGACACCGTCTCGACCCTGTCTGTGGGCGGATGCGTTTATTTGTACTTGAGTTAAACGCCCACATTCATGAGCATATTTTTCTCTTTTTTTAAAGAAAAGGAGAGAATATGTCTGTTTGTGTGTGTTTCGTCAACCCTGAAAATGGGTGATTTGGTTAAACAGAGGTTCATAATGGACATAATTATTGCACACACCAATTACCTTAAATAAATGATTGCTCTCTCTTTGCAATCACACAAAGTACCGCACTATAATCAGGGAGGCAATCGAGTGTTGCTGCTGTGTGCATCCACACCAGTGTGTTTATGTGACGCTGGCAGGTTTGCACACGGCCCCATCCGACTGCTGTATTAAAGCTCACACTACGCCAGATGAAGGGTCTAAGTAAGAGAGGGAATCAGAGGGATGACAAGGCAGAAATGCACACACACACACACAATCACTCCGATGCATCTTACATTTGAGCTCCAAGCGAATGAAGTCTGTGTTTCCCAGGTTTTCCAGGAAGACGCCGTAGGGCGCACTGGTCTTGAAGTAGAAGGAGATGTCGGCGCTGGTCTCCCCATGGAAGGTGGCAAAGTGCAAGTAGGATGACGGGGTGGTGAAGGATGCAGCATTCCAGTAGTTATCTGTGGGAGGAAAAAAAATGGATATAATCAGAGCTCTCCACCAGCGCATCCGGCAGGGACCCGCTGGAGCCTCCATCAGCTGCAGGAGAGGTGCGGAGTGAATTCATTGCAGCAATGGTTTGATTTCAAATGGTTTTGTTTCATTCTTTAAAAAAGGCTATCCATCTATTCAAGATAAAAACCCTTGTATCTCATGTCCATTGCTTAATGTGGCTCATTTTAATAACGATTTCATCAAGTGTAAACTCTATTTCTGTGCAAAGGTTTTAAAGCAGCCTGTAATTTCCTGCTACTTCAATAATACTCACCAGAAAGTGGATCACATGATAACCGCAGAGAGAGACACAGACTATTGTCTTCTAAATGAGGATCTGAGAAGGTGACGAGGTTACATGAATAGAGTGCCGAGGGAACTTTGATAGCAACTTTTCGAATGACTTTTCTAAAGCGAAACCAGCGTGCCGCTAATGAAGACAAAGTAGCAGCTCGCTAAAGAGCTGCAGATGAATTATCGGACTGTGGCTGATGTAGCGACTTCTCTTCTCCTCCCGCTGCTGCGTCCCTGTCTGACTCCTGTCACTCAAGGAGGATGAAAAGTAGGGCGGAAAGAAGGGAACTTCCCACTTCGTTAAAGATGTTTATCCTTCAGGATCGTTGCTGCTTATTTTTCCTGCAGCGACTAATCAGCTTATTGAACACTCATCTTAGGACTCCTTTGCTTTCTTTTATGCTGCGCAGCACACGGCATTAATACTGCCGTGTGCGTTTGTTGTGTGAGTGCACGGCCGTAAGTGTAGATATGCACCGTGCTTGTGTGTCTCCTGGCTCAGTGCGATAAGCGCTCCCAGACGACGGTGCCGAGCTTCTCCCCTCTCCTCTTTGCCTCACATCCCGTCACCAGGGGCAAGGGCAGATAGTGTCCAGACACACACACACAGAAACGACCCCCTGCTGAGGCTGCCTTTGAGATTAGTACGTTTGAAGTTGGAATACTGTTCATTTCCCAACGGGAGGTGAAGCCAATTATTGAACAGGGCTAATTGTGGACGAGAACAGGGGGAAGCCTGCAGAGGGGAAACAAATAATTAAGATGACTGTGATGTTTCTTAATAGCAAGAAGGCACGCTTAGCTGGTGATAATGTAATGCACAATCACTGACTGATTACAGAGGAATTGTTTAGAAGAAAGCAACAAATACAAGGGCTCTAACGTACTATGATGATGCGATTTAATAAAAAATAACCCAAAGGTTACATAAATGAACACTGAAAAGCATGTCGACGCACATGGCTGCAAAGAATTTGCTACGCATTCTTTGGACTATCCCACATGAATCGGCCCCCCACTATATCACAAGTACAAGCAACGTCAATGTCTCAAGTGCTCGGATATCTATTTATAATGACACATTAAGTGCATTGAGCAAGAGAGCGGGGAAAAAAAGGGTTGACAAAGACATGGAAGCAAGAAGGACACAATGAAGAAGGGATACAGCCTTGAGGTGAGTCTCCAGAAGGAAGGAGGGAGAACAAGAGGAAAAGGAGGAAGGTGGGAGGAGGTTAGAGAAATGGGCTTAAAAGGGATCAATGGGTTGAGATGCAAAGGAGAAGAAAATAATTTCGAGAGAACTGTGGAATAAACATGGCAACCGAATCATAAACATCCGACTGCCCCTGTGTCAGATCCACAGATCCAGCAACTGATTGGCGAGGTTCTGTTGGCACATTTATCCCTCCAATATTGACATATTTATCAAACAAATGTTTAAAAAAAAAAGACCAGCCACCAAAATGTCTGACTGAGACATTATACAGTCGCAATGCATGATAACACACTTGGAAGCAAGGAAAATTCATTTTATGCAAAAATGTATTGAGCAAAGTAACGCAATTCATAATATATAAACTGAGCAGCCTGCCATACCAAACGGCCTTGGTGTAATTGTGCGTTACTAAAATCTCCGGTGTAAAATCAAGCCATTTCCTTCATGTCTTCACATAAATAAAACGTAGCATGTTGTAGGACAAAACTAAAAGGCCTTTTGGGAACCACGTCCATGGTAAGCAATGAGCTCATTGAAGCACTTTTCAAATGGATTTCAAATTCAAATCTTCAATTCAGTTTTTTTCTCAACAAGCCACTTTTCTCTGTCTAATTGGCTGCCAGGTAATGCAAATGCCGGACATTACACCTCATTATCACCTCTTCTCACTAATGCGCATGGTCTCATAGTGTGATGTACCACTGTAGGAGACGACTTGAGTATCTCTGAGGATATAAATGGCCTCTGTGGCTGAGCCGCTGGAGCGTCAACCAAGTAAACCAAGATTTTGTTGATTAAACGCGCAAGACATCAAAAGTAAATCACTCACCAAAGAGCCATCCGTCAATCGGACACCCAAAGCTCAACATCTATTCAGGAATCCATAAATCAAGAGCGGAACTGCAGCGGAAGGTGCTCAGTAAAACAAATTTGTCTACACTTCATCACTAGCTTTCTTTACGGATAAAAGTTGCTTTACACGCATGTTGTGGACATCCTTTGGACACATCAACTCATTTGACTGAAACGTGGTGTTGCCGTGAAAACAGCTGCTGACCTCTGGAATAGGCCGCAGGGACTCTTCAAGCCCACTGAACCGTAGAGCCTGACATGATGTGAGATACAGTCCGGGGGTGAAGTCCGGCTCTGGAAGCCAACTAGATGATTCATCTGCTCCTGCTTGACCGGACGGGTTATGTGTCAGTACCAGCAGAACGTAAGGGGGACTAACTCGTCTCGTGTCATTAACAAGGACATTGTCAGGCGCACACACACACACACACACACACACGCACACAAAAGCGACATTCAAATATTAAATTCATGCTTATCAATGTACATCGTTGGCTGCAGGAAGAATAGGCTACTTTTACTGCCACATTGGCTCAAATCAACAACCTCATCCTCACACACACACTGCAGGTGTCACGGTGTGGTTCACTTCCTGTCTTATTTTGTAGTTTTCTGCCACTCGTGTCCCCGGGTAACTTCACTTCCACCTGTGTCCAATCACCTGCACCTCCCTTGTGTATTTAAGCCGTGTGTCTCTTGTGTCACTTGTCGCGTCATTGTCTTTCGTCTTGGATCGCCGTAGTTTCTCGCCTGTGTGCTTTTGCCCCCGGTTCCTGTGTTTTTTGACCTTTTGACTATTTAAGTCTTTTGTTTTGGAAAAGTCTGCGTTTGAGTCCTGCCTTCCACCCCCAACCCTGACAGCAGGAGAGCAGCACACACAGCGTCACGCGTCTTACCGATGTAGATTGTGACATTGAGGATCGAGACTTCTTCAGCACTTATTAGTCCGTTTGCTGGATCAAACACAAGCTGTGCAATCTCATTTCACTTTCCACTTATTCTGCTACAGGTGCAAAGCACGTGGGCGGGTGCATCGGCGTGGAGATAATCAGAGGACTAAGAATAGTGTCTTCTAACACGGGAGGCGGCAGCTCCGATCTTGGAATGTGACATATCTGTGCCCCCCCCCCCCACGGCTCAGATATTATCGTTCATAAAACAACACACACTCGTTTGGAAACTTGTGAAACGGTGGCACGTCACGCTTGTACTTATTCTACAGTTGCAACTGTATTTCGTCTTATCTACAGTTAATTGAACTCTGTGAGGCGTTTAATTTGATGGTTGATCTGCAAGATCGGCACAAAGCCTTCATCAATCTCACTTTGTAATTAAGTATCTCGTCGTACATTTTTAGCACTAAACCTTCACGGAGAGATGAGAAAAAAAAGTATATCAAAGTTTATCAAATATCTGTCATTTGATTCTTTAAAGTATCTCTAGTGTATAAATAATCCTTAAAGAAAAGGAATGCACGTACGCTTTCTTTTTTTATGGATGCAATGCAATCAAAAACTTCTGGACTGTAAATTGCTTTGGTTACACACGTACAAACATAATACGATGTTCTTGTGTTAATGTAAAACATTATCATGTCATCATGAAAATGCCTCATAACCAACCCAAACTGTAAAAATAATAATTGTATGTATATTACATCCGTAATACCTCATTTCTGCTGCAAAATGTGTACAACCCCATAGGAAATACGTCAAAGTGTAATACTTGTCTAAATGGTTTTTAGGGGGATTTTAAATCAGTTTAGACCTACAATTCACAATGAATACATATATTCAGACTTCATTCAAAGACAGAAGTAATGAGCCCACACTTTGGGGGTCTGCACCAGCAGATACTTCAATGTCTTTAAAAGCATAGCAGGATAAGAGGGCTGAATATATATTTTATGTGGCCATATGAACAGCGACAAACGGGTAGAGACAGATTAATTCGTTTTCAACTATCATAGGTGACCCTTGTGAGCTATTATTTGTGGTCAGTCATGAGGCAACGCACGTCTCAGACCTAGTCGCATTGTATTAACATAATGGAACACATTCTGCTTTGCGTCAATCGCAGTCATTATTTTTTTCATTCCCATCTATTTAAATGTCCAAACCCTTTTAACATCTATAAATGGGACTAATTCCTCTGTCTGCCTGAGCTTCCAATAAACCAGCCATGGAAATGGGCTTCATTAATGCACAGGCACGTATCTGCGCACACACACACACACACACACACGCACACACACACGCACACACAGAAAGTTATACTCTTACTTGCTCCTGCGTCCACCACGGAACGAACACACACACACACAGACACACACACAGTGCCTCCTTTCTAAAGATCTCCCTGACTGCTCAAAACATTAGTCATTTGCCTATGAAAGCTCATTATATGCCAGCCAATCATCATTGCTCTTACTGAGACAGAGCTCCACGCTCAGTATGAGGAGCATCAATCATACACGGAGTACCGATTCACTTGTGAAATTTTTAATACATGTTTAATATGCTTTAATGGGCCAGTGTATGATGTATGCTCCGTGTTTTCGGTGTCCAAGCTACAACCATTGGAATCGTACCTCAAAGTCATTTTCATTTTAAAGTTAGTTTGTTCATTTGGTCGCTCGATAGAAAAGAGGATTAACTCCCTCTTTGTCTCCACTTACACTCCGTAGTTGCGGAAGTCCTGAAACTACAAGCAGGACTACAAAAGGAGATAACAAAGGAAGCATGTTGCTTAGATACTTCATTTCACATAGTGAGGAGCCAAAAGGAAAAAGTTCTACACACTTGACTGGACTTAAATTCTTCCATATCTCAAAGTTGTTGATTCTCCTCTATGAGTTTATTCAAACCTCAGGTGGTAACTCGGCTTCCAGGTGAGAAAAGATCTATCTTCTGTAATAGTGTTTTGCCACACTGCCACACGATGGACCCGCGCACACAAACAGATGTGCTGTCATGGGTCATTAAATCATGGCTTGTTGGCGTGTTGGCAGCTCTCAGATGGACGGACGTTAGCGAGAGTGGACCCCGGATCGTCGACGAAAGGGGCCGTGATGAGTGCGACACCGGTGAGAAGTGAGGGGGCAGGTGTTCTCCGTCACGTTCTGCACCACCGCCGCTTCCCGTCTCCTCGAGGACTTCCGAGACCGAGGGAGCGGAAAGATCCGTCCATTAGAGTGAACCATAACGGAGGTCATGCTATATAAGCCAGTTCCACTGCCCTCTCTGCAGCACACGGACAAGCTGCTCCCCGCATGGAGCGCAAGACGAAAAGCATCGAGCAGTAAAAGCACTTAACCCCGACTGAACCGCTGAAGTTCTTGCATAGAGACGGATGGATGCGGTGTCGGGGTGGCCCGGGCGAGGTCACCGCCAAGCTGCCAGCGACTTGAGGTTCATCCAGAGGGCGGTTAGCTCGCACGCTCTCTTAGCTGAGGTCAGTGCAAGCAGCAGAGCCATCTCAAATGACAACCGTGGGGGGAAATGCATCAAAGGCTCCTTCACCGAGGAGCCGAAAGACACAGTGGCGGCTCGCACTGCCGGGGAGGAGGCACCTTCGTCACGGGGCACGGGCAAAGAACGGACCCTCACCCCAAGAGGCCTGACCGAAGGGTTTTTACTCTTATGCAAATTATCGGCGGGACGAATGCATTGGAGGAGAGCGTGAGAGCGTTGATTACACTCGTGCTGGCAACCGTAGCCAAAGCCTCCGCCGATGGTGGAGCAGGCACGGAGGCGTTTATGAGCAATGGGCTGTTATTCTCCAAGACATGTGCGCACCGACAAAATGTACTGTGGAAAATCAAAAAGACTACAAGTGTACCCGGCGAAAAGCCATAAAACGCAAATCCAGAAATATGGAGGAGGAATTGTGATTATTTGTAAACTGAGATTTCATGTTCTTGGAATACTTTTTTCGGCTCTTTACAAGCCCAACTAAGAAACAAGTAGTACATGCATTAAAAAAAAGGTTGAATATTCTTTTTCTAAATCATCTAAATGGAAATATCATGTATATGGTGCTTCAATCAGTGAACTATTTGGGAGAGGCGTGTGATTGCACAACCAATCCGCCGGCCGTGATTAGACCATCTTCCGGCGCCTTCTCGGGCTGCCTTCACTACGGCAAGTATAAACAAAGCTTTACGCAGTCCAGTCGGGTCGGAATTGTGGTATTTTTATACTTTGCAGGAGGAATTTATCAGAATTCAGCACTGCGTGAGTGCAGAATGCACTTATCTGCACTTACACTCCACTGGGATTTCATACCTCCGCTCTATTATTGCCTTTTGTAAGAAAAATGAGCAGTCAATAGATAATATATGAAGCATTATTATCCAACTGATCATGCTGCCATGAACTAAATATTAAATCCATGTTTGCGTTTTCCTCTCCACAGGATATTACTTTTCCCAAAACCTCTCTGGCACTTTGTAACATCACACAGCAGATACCAACATTACTTCCCCGACTATGTCGTTTTAATCTATTTCGTCACAAGAGATAAAAAATAAATAAATAAAAAAACACAGCGAACGAGGGAGGTACACGCAATCTCAAAAGACAAAAACCCTTCTCTGAAGAATTCACTCAACTCAATCTTGAATCCTCTCAGAGGACATGTGTTTTTTTGATGCTGCTTTCACGGCCGTAGCTGTGAAGAACACACTACGTTTCCTCTTACTGTAATTGTAGTGTACTTTTTTTTTCCAGGACACAATCCATGGGATGATTAAAAAATAAAGACGCTGGATGCATATTAAACGTACAAATGGGCTTCCAGGCTCCTGCCCGCCTCTAAAGAACAGGTTGTACTAACACATGATGGCCGTGCAGCATTGCGTTGAATACGCCATACAGGGAGAACCAGGAGGTGGGAATGTGGTGGGGAAAATGTTGGTTTCTAGTTATCTTGCACAACATTTGCAATTGTTTTGACGTGTTTCCCAACCGTGGTGCTGAACATCCCCTCCTTAATGGGAACTATGGTTGCGTGTGTTTACATCGTTGGGATGAAGTTGCCATAATCCTTTGGACTTTTAATGGGTTTTTTTAAAAGTTACAATCAGATGACTTTCCTGAAAAAGTTCCCTTTCACCAAGTATGAGAGATGCATCCGGGTGGGATGGACTAAATTCATGCCGAGAAACACCATGCGCACCGCACGACTGACACGCCGCAGGTCAGAACAAAGGGAAACAGCACAGCACTCGAGCGTTAGGAGTGAGGACTGATGTGTGTGAGCCTTCCAGTTGGCTCAAAGTCCCACAGCGAGCAGTGCGCCAACACTGATTAGAGGAAAAGACAGGTATAGACACAGAAAGCATTAAGGGTGTTGGTGTGTGTGTGTGTGTTTTTTTTGCAGGACCTGATATCTGACAGTTCGCCTGAAAAACAACCAAAGCTACAAGACGAAAAAAGAATGAAAGGATGAGGATGAGAGCGGCGTTCAGATGGATGGTCTCTGCAAAGAGTTCAGATAAAAACACACTTCTGAAAAAAGTGCTGAAAGTCAATTAAAGCAGATTTTTTGAATAATCAGCACGATTTGAGTATGAAGAATTTTCAAATTCAAGTGCCACTGAATGAAAAACTGCACATTAGTCTCTATTTTTTCTATATTTCTCTCTCAAATTAGTCAAAACCCAGTTCAAACCACAAGCTAAATCTAAAAACAGGTTGATCCAAAAAAACACCCCAAAAAAACAATGTTTATCCTTTAATTCTGTTTGTAGTTTTGGTTTAGTTTCTACATATACTGGCCTTTGATTACGTGTAATACTTTCAAATTAACCTATTCATACTGTTAACGAAGGCTGTATATGCACATTATCCTGCCTTCGTCAGTAATGCTAGTAGGACATTTTCCAATCGGCTTCACACTCATCAGCAGGTATCTGCCATTCAGCTCAGGTCAACCCTACGTGAATGCCGTGATATTCTCTCCCCCCTTCACACTTCATCAGAACCACAAGACTCCCGATCAATTACAAACCCCTCATATCACTGCGCAACCAGACCATAAACTGAAAACTGTGAGGTGGCACCAATGTACCGCTTTGAATTAGCTTTGAAAAAGCTATTCCAACTCAAAACTTTTTTGTTTAATTACAAAAGGGTCCCGCCTGTTCAATTCATCAATTAATGTTCTTTTTTACGAGACACCAGCCCACCAGTAAATTGTTACAACGCCATAAAAAATACCTGTTCAGCCAGTCTGGTTTTAAGGGAGACTCCCTGCATGCAAATAAGTTCTCCCGATGATCACAAATGACCTTCTTTGGACAAAAGATATATATTCCTTTTGGAGAATGTGGTCTTGTTCTTTTAGGGCTTTGTGTTCCATTGTCCATGCAGTGCTGCTTGACCTATTTAGCAATGTGTTGGCATTTCACATGCAACACTTACACGGTTCAATAGACATCAGAGAGCAATCCGTATCTTAATAGGTAAAACGATCTTATCTTCTGCATTTTGGTACAGACCAGTGACCTTTGTGATAAGCACCAACTCATTTTCTCTATGAGTAATTCCTTGTACTTACGCAGGGAAAAACGGTCACATTAAGAGGAACGTTAAAGTCTGATCGAGCACAATAACCTGTTTGTCCAGGAATTTTCTCCAAATTACAAAAGGTCATGAGCTCCCTGTGACAACGGGGGAATTAAATTTTAAAGCTGTATTATAGAGACTGGAGGTGATCTCTCGATACCACCTTTGATGAGCCATTGAAAAAGGTGATGCAGTCCTGATCCTGAGACTACGACCTGCAGAGAATTATTCTAACACTGAAACCAGTCGTCTAAGCAGCTGCCATCAAGCCACATGTTTCCCCTGAAATAAGCCCCTGCAGCTGCAGCTGTCCTGCCTCATTTAAAGGACCTGCAGCTAATCCAGAGTGCTCACACAGGTCTACTAGTCTCAGTAAAATGCTAAAGATTGCTGCTGAATGCTTCATCATGAACTACATCTCCATAATAAATCCAGTGTGCATCCATAAAGAAAAGCACTCACTATCTCCTTGGCAACGCAGCGGTCCGACAGTCAGCTTGGCTTCAGAGCCCGGTCTGTTGGTGTCACCCACGGCAACCTGGCTGACTGGCAGGTGTTCCTTATATGTCAGCGGGCCAGAATCCTCTCTCCTGTCAGACGAGTAGGAAGAAACAGGCAGACAGTGGGATGAGGAAAGAAATCAGATAAACAACGTTGAGTTTTTTTTTTTTGTGCATTTGTGATTTTATCATCCAAACCCTAAGAGAACAAAATATGAGCAATATAATGAACAAAATAGTACATACATAAAAAAAAAACAATTGTTGCAGCCAATATGGATGAGGATTGGGTGGAGAGATGGAGAGTTAAGGAATAAGGAACTTTGGCTTTTGTCTTGGTCTTATTAGTCCATTGATAATGCAACAACGATACAACAAACATAAACACGTGTTCAAGTGCCCTTAATCTGTAACATTAGTATTTGAAATGTTGTTGCTGTTGATTTCGGTTCTGAAAGAATACAGTAACATCTCATTTGTGGCTTTGTGCATGCATATGTGTCTGTATGTGCATGTGTGTCGGTGTGTGCTGCCAAATTATGGTAATGAGTGGAAATATAGTTTCATGGGTAATATTTCATAAACTCACTCAGCCAAACAATGCGATATTAATGCATACATCATTAATGGAGTAAGATTTATTTGCAAAACAATCAGTTTTAGCGATGGGGGGGGGGAGACGTGAAAGTAAATGATTTCTTTTCTTCTTGTTAACTCTCAATTACTCACAGACGAACATACAGTAGGTTCACACATGCACACACACGCACAAAGCAATGCAATTGGTTTAATGAGAATATCCATCAGCTGGCTAAAGGAGCTTTGAAACACAAACTGTTTGTTCTGCAGGCAAACAACCCTCTTGAATAAATACATCAATGATGATGGCATTCATCAGTCAGTTTTAAGTTAGACACCTAATCAGACTGTCCAGCTGATTAATGCAACATTAACATTAGCGGCACAATTTATGCTGAAGCGCAGTGAAATTGTCCCGTCAAAACATTTCTATGGGTAAGGCAGGTTCACTTGTCAAGTTCAATTGATATATCACTATAGTTAAGAGTTTCTATCAACTGCAGTCTAGGGGTTATGGAGGGATTCATAACCCAGACACCACTTACCGACTATAAATATCATAATTGATAGTTTATTTCCGTTACATTTAATGGTGGTGAATTTGTAATTTTCTGCTCCTTAACTGACACGAGTAGACACAAGCTACTTCTTCTTTTGTGGGGTTTTAGTTGGCGGCATTCATGTGTGGAGTGGATTTAATCAGCTGTAGCGAGCAATCTTTAAACTTTAATTCACATTAGCTCTCTGAGCTGGTTAAAACAATTCTTAGTCTCTCAGGCTGACTTGATGAATACAGTGTGCTGGATGTCCCCTTCATTGCATTCTTCTAAAGCAAAAAGGCTGAAGCTAGATGTCCCGGGTAAAATGTTAATAATCCACATCATGAAAATGACAAAGTCTTACTGTTCTTGCATTGCAACGTAGAGTTAGTTAGACACTGGTATGAAGGTACGTTATTATTAAAAAACACCATATGTAACGTAGCATCTGTAACAAAGCACAGGCGTTTAGCAGTTAAACAGTAGATCCTGTAAAAACCCAAACGTACTGCAGTGGCCGAGCAACTGAATGGGGAAAGGATACAAAACTGATGTATTTCATCACAGCTCATCACTTAGTTTTTTACTTAAGAGAAACCTGCTTGAGGGAGCAGTCACTGTTGGAGCAGAATGTACAGCAAAATGATGTAAAGAACAGATGTGCTGACTCGGCTGTATGAATGTCCCAGCATCACCCGCCATGCTCCGCTGCAGTTTGGGGCGGACTGGGCGTGGCCGGAAAACAATTAATGAATAAAAACCATAACTGTTGTTTGTGTTCCCGTTGCGCTGACGTACCATTGTTTGCTGTCAGCATCGCAGTTGCAGTCGTATTTGGGGTCCGTGCAGTTCCTGTCGATGCCACAGGCGCACTTCTGGATGCCGGGCCCCGAGCCCCCCCAGTAGAAGTGCTTCTCGCTGCCCCGGCCAACCCACCATGTGTACGGGGTCCCATCTGGGGTGAAAAAAAAAATACACACACAAAATCAGCTACGTTAAAGTTCCTTTAAAAAAAAAAGAAAACTGGTTCCCGGGTTGAATACAACGACGTTCACCGTGTATCTCGCAGTTAAGAGCACAACGCAAACTCTCGCAAAGGCAATCAAGTTGTGCCACAATCTGTCCAATCTCCTTCCCGTTGCAAGTGAGTCATTGTTAAATCATTCGCCGGTTGAGGCTTTTGTCGCATTAATGTGATTTATATTGACAGCAAGCAGCTGCATGTTGAACGTAATTCATTTGCTCGACATGTTTTACACAGCTCGATGGTAAATGCCCCTCAGACAGACAGGCCCACTCTGTCATACATCACACCTGTGACTTCAGAGATCTACTTAAGCACTGATTCAGGGCCCTGTTTACATTATCTTTTGCGTTATCACGCGCAATCTGTGTACTTACACGAACACCAGCGACAGCGTAGGCCCTTCTGAGCGCATCTGTCGACAAGAAAACCTTGTTTGTGCGCCCGTGTGCGTGCGTGTTTTAATGAGTGGATAAAAGGTGAAGGATCGCTGCTTCTCAATAAGAAATGTAATATCGTTTTCTTTGCTCTTAGATGATGTAATTCTGGCACGCGACAGTAACCAGGCAGAGAGATAGGTGCGGATATTTTGGTGAATGGAAAATACATCAAAATAACTGCAAGAGGGAGTGAAACAATATTACATTTTTCACTTTATCCCGGGAAAAATAAGCTGCACCGTCAATATCGCTTTGTCAAACGCTTTCAGAGACAATGAAATCTCCCGAGCTGCACTTTTCATAGGCGGGGATTGAAGCTGACTTTTGATGCAGCACAATTGCATTGGGAGATGTGATATATACTGTGCTGTATTATTGCACATTTTTATTTTCTGAACTGGGGCTAAACATTAAGAGGAAGCTATGGTTGTAGTGTGTTTATATATATTCTATGTGTGTCAAGTGTCTCACTTTTGTGAGGGTCAAACTGCAGCCCCCCACTTGAAAGGGCAGCTTGCTAAGAAGTGTAGACTGGATTCCACTCAATGACCAAGATTCGGACTTCCTTGCTTTCTTGCTTTTATTTTTAAAATTGTCCAAGTCAAACCAGGTGAAAAACCTTGAAATACAAACATGAATGTAAGGTCAAAGAAATATAACCTAAGAAACCATAATCAATTCACATACCCAACATCACATACTTAATTTATAATCTACTGGAAATTAACCTCAAAATAAGTAGAAAGACAACCCAAATTTAAAGTATCCCAATACTAAATTAAATACATTTTTAAAACACTATTTAATGATGATTTTAACCTTTAACCTTCACCAGATTTTAACTCCGCTGAATACACACAAATCAAGTTTTATCCAATTACTTTTAGCTTGAATACTTTTTAAAACACATTAAATATATGGACATT